ACACATGCACACGCACACACACACACACACTCTCACTCTCACACAAACACACACACACACACACACATGCACGCACACACACGTGGTCTAAAAATACAAATATAAGTGAAGTCGCTAGACATTTCAATGCTGCTTTTAGTACTATTTTATATACTATTACTATATATATAATATTAGTATTATTATTCTATTATATATAATACAACTTAAGTTAAATAATTTAATGATTTTAGTTGAAGCTTATTATATTTCTAGAAATGAAAATTTATATAAATACACATTCATGTGGATATTTATATCTCAGGGTTATTATAATAATTAAAACTATCAAAATCATTAAAAAAAACATTTTACATTTTCGTTACTAGAAATAAAATAAACTTCAACTAAAATAAAATATTGTAACACACTTAAGCTTATTTAATTTTTTCTACATTTCTCATTTTTCATTTAGTTTAATATGATGTACTAAAATAACAAAGTAAAACTGAAATAAAAATTAATAAAAACGGTATACTTATAAACTATGATATAGACACATTTTTGGAAAAAAACTCACTTTTTGAAATATGTTATATATAAAGTAATGTGTCTGTGTAATGTGTCTATACATATATATATATATATATATATAGTATAAAGAAAAGCTATTCGAGTGTGTGTGTATTTAGGTTGTTTTAGTTTACATTTGGATTTTTGTTTCAAACTCTGGTTGTATATTACTAATAAACATTGTGGTAAAGGTAGAATATATATATATATATATATATATATATATGAATTAATATATACACACAGATATTTTCATACACATACTCAATGAATACTCCCATATAACAATTTTATAATTTATGGTCATTATTGGTTAAATTAAATTAAACATTAAATTTAAATTCATAAATATATGTTTTAAATTCTCAATAACCTGAACAAATATCAATGTCCCACTCCCATATAACTGTTTTAAAATTTAGAGTTGTTATTGAAAGGAATACTCAATTTAATAACAAAGAAATCACTTTGTTTACATGCTGCTTATGCATGTTGTGAGAAACAGGTCTAATAAAGGGTAGAGAATAGATGCACACAGATATTTTCATACTTGAATGACTGTACTGTAAAAACACTAATATTGATACATTTTTCTTTCAATATCAATGTGATACCAGATAACAGTATATTTGACTCCTGTGTTTGTGTTTTTAACAGAGGCAGGAGAGGTTCACGGACTGCACGGCTCTGTTGGAAATGGAAAAGAAGGTGAGTTTACAGAACACAATTCTGCTGAACTAATGAAAAGCATTACTGTATATATTATAGATGTTTTCAATCTTATGATGTCAGTCCACATGCTCGTTTTCTCTGCGTTTCAGGAGAAAAAGATGTTAGAGAGGCGTGCCGCTGAGTTGGAAGAGGAGTTGAAGGTGAGAGCGTGTGATCACGGAAGACTTGTTCTGATTGGCTCTCGTTCACTCAGTTCTGGATGCTGATTGGCTGAGAGGCTACTGAAGCATTTCTTTTCACTGAAATGTTGTGAATGCATATATTAATACTTTATCCGTGAGAGCAGTTCAGCCAACACGAGTAAAACCAGTTTAACGAAGCATTTGTCTTACACACTAACCAGGCATGACAAATATGATTAATCACACTTCTGCCATGTTAATGTGAGTTTAGTCACCTGGTTTCTATTTCTAGCTTTGCTCACAGTGAAATCTGATTGGTTCTGCTTCAGTATATTAATCATCAGCTTCTATGTTCTGGCTGTGAGTTTGTAGCACTGCACTGTATTTTTACTCTTATTGAGGACAGAAAAATAACTTGAAACTGGAAACTTGTCATGACATACCTGGTTAGGAGTGGTAAATTCTGGCATCGTTTACTCAACCTCATGTTGCTCCAAACCTGTATGACTTTGCTCTGTAGAATGTGAGCTTTGTAGGTTTGAAATCAATGAGAAAAGTAATTAACCAATTTTTTATTTTTTTTTCTGGATATCAGTGATAACAGATGACATGCGCACAAACTTGTTCAAAATGAAAAAAAAAAACATTTTACAAACTATTTGATCAAAATTCTCTAAAATCTTAAAAGTTTGAAACAGATCAAGCCGCCAAAATAAAATAAAATGTAAAGCAAAAATGACACATTAATATTAAGTTTATTAATTAATATTATTAATAATATTGATTTGATCACTTATTAATAATATACACTTGACATAAATTATAAAACTTGGTCAGTGGTCATAAAAAAAAGAGAAAGTAATAATATGAAAAAATAATATAAAATATATTGTTAATATAATATAATATAATAATATAAATATCACAATTGCAAAAGCTCATTAAAGTGACAAAAAAACAAAAATATTTTAATATAAACTGTATTAATTGTTATTGTTAATATTAATTTGATCAATTTTTAATATGTAATAGACATAAGTGACAGTCCCTGGTCAGTGGCCAATCAAACTAAAATAATTTATTAAATGTAAAAAAAAATGTATGTATATGAGTATTAATTATTTTTGTTGTTATTAATAAAAAATGATAATTATTATTAAAAATTTAATTATTATTAATAATAATAATAATACAATTTTATTAATAATACATCATTTACAGTCCTTGGGCAGTGGTCAAATTAAATTAATTGTAAAACAAAAGTACTATATTAAGATCAATTTTGTGAATTGTTATTAATATTGATTTTATTGATTAATTACAATTAATAATTGATAGTGCTTGTCAGTGGCCAATGAAACTAAAATGTAAAACAAAAATAATGTAATATAATATAATATATCATAATATAATGAATTGTATGGACTGTAGTTTTGGAGCTTGACAGCTCACTGTCTTCTGTATTCTTACATTATTTGGAAAACAGCTGCTTGAACATTTTTCAAAACATCGTCTTTTTTATTTCCTGTTTCCTTGGTTTGGAATGACATGGTGTCAGTATTTATACTTTACTGTGAACTGTCCCTTTAAAATGCCTCCTCTGACAGCTGTAAAGAACTGGAGTGTGTCTGTCGCACAGGTTTTAGGGGATCTGAGAGCCGACAACCAGAGGCTGAAGGACGAGAACGGCGCGCTCATCAGAGTCATCAGCAAACTCTCCAAATGAAGACCGAGAGAGAGAAAGAGAAACCGTACCACCCCGACATCCTTCCCCAGAGCCAAAGAAGGGAAGAGAGGAGGAGAGGAACAATGTCACTGTTTTATGACGGCTCACAGCTAGCCCTGATCTTTTACTTTCCTGTGCGTGTGGCGTGTTTGAACTTCATCCAACTTCATCAGCGGAGCTTCAGATTTCCCTATTTCTCTCTCTGTCTCTATCTCTCTCTCTCTCTCTCTCTCTCTCTCTCTCTCACTCACACACACACACACACACACACTCTCGCACTCGTATAGGGACGCATGCACCATGCACATTCCCATAAGCGTGAGCGCACACACTCCACACACATTCCACGAGTCTCAGTCAGCTGACGTCTGCAGTATTTTTGCATCTTTGCACAAACACACACACACACACACACAAAATTGAGAGGTTCAACCCTAAACTCCATTAAAGGTGGTCTGAACATGTCACTCCAATCCATCGACTCCAGAAACCAGCGCGACAATCATTCGTTGAAAACACCGAAAACACGGCAGTTATGCCGTGTATCTTTTACGGCGAGCCATGAGGAAATGTCTATTTTTGTGGTTTTTACTTAATTTTGAATCATCCGTGCTCTCGGCGTCTTCTGAAGCGAGGGCGGCGACGGCTTTGTTTATTGTGTAAATGTACAAATATTATGCATTTGAACTCATAACGCTATAAACTGTAACTTAATATCGACTTCATTTTCTCCACGTGTTGTTTTTCTGATATATTGAATGAATGTTGGCACTTAATAAAATATGTGTTTGTAGACTAGTGCTTGTTTTTTTTGTTTTTTTTACATTTTACGGTTTCTCTGCTGAGGTTTATTGTTGTGTAAGATGGCAGTTTGTGTTTTATTTGAGTATTCATTGACATGACTGACAGTCCCTGGTCAGTGGCCAATCAAAACAATGTAAAAGAAAAATATTGTTAATTTAAATTTGACAAACAAAAAAAGAAAAAGAAAAAATATATTTAAAAAATTAAATATAATACTAAAAACAATAATAATAACTTTAATATTAATAATGACCTCCCCTGGTTAGTGGTCAAACTAAATAAAAATTTAAAACTAAAGTATAAAACATAAAACAAACAAAAAAAATTATGTTAATTTGATTAATTATTATTTTTCAGCAAGTTGTTTGAGCTCAGGTCAGTGCACTAAACAACACAACCAAAGTTTTCATATTCAGAATTTTTAGGCATCATATACATTTGATTCAAACTGTTCATCATAAGAGCATTCAATTGAGTCTCAACATTTCTGTCAATAAAACATGTTTGTATTTAACATTTCTGGACATTATAGAGTGTACATTTAAAAGTTCAATTTTGCATTTTTGACCATATGTGTGTTTAAATTTATAAGTTTAAAATTTTGATTTATAGATTCAATTCAACACTTTTCAGCATCATATGTGCAAGTTTAAAAGTTTGATTTGAAGATTCATCATGGGCGCATGCAAATGTTTAATTCAAATGTTCTCGTTATCACTTTTAGACATCATACACACATTTATACATTCATGTTCATATTCAGTGCTGGGTAGAAACTGATTACATGTAATCTGGATTAGGTAATCAGACTCCAAAAATCACTTGCAAAGTACTTGTAATTAGATTATATTACATTCTAAAATACCTGTAATCAGACTACAGTTACTTTTTTATTGATTACATGATTACATACTATTAACACAATAGTAATAAGTTATTATTTCAATCAATGTGATGAATGAGTTGGGTCAAAAGTAATCTAAAAGTAGTATTATCTAAAATGTGTAATCTGTTACTAACTGCAATTTTTGTCATGTAATTTAGAATCAGTTACAGCTACCCAGCGCTGTTCATATTCATCCTTTCTGTCTACTTTTCATTTAAAATTCTTCGGCACAACTTCAGCAGTTTGGTGTGTAATATATACACGCTTGAAAGTTGAATTTCTAGATTTGATTCAGTATTTTTGGGCATCATGTTCAAACACTAGCAGAATTAAGTCATCAGGACTTCTCCCTAATGCTGTGTGCATGTCTACCAGATGTGCCTCATCATCAGATAGCAGGGGAAAAAAGAAGAACAGCTGGAATAATGGATCCAACATTCCCACAGAGAGAAGGACAGGAAGTTACAGTAAAACCAGACCGAGTGAGAGCGAACGGCAAAATGATTCGTTCAGTGGCTAGTTCTTCTCGACTGACACCTTGTTTAGAAGGTCAAGAGAACAATAAGAGGAGAAGAGAGAAACCTGAGGGCCAGAGAGAGTTAAAAAGACACTTCTGAATGGGATTCTGACACGTGCTGCACAGATCAGACATTTGCCTCTCGTTACCTTTGACAAACAACTACATGACCCTTGAGAATGAATGCCATCCTCTCATCTGTTTGTCTCATCTACATATACACTGACAACAAGGACAGCTCCTAATAAGGTACGCCGAGCCAGTCTTGCTGTAAATATCCCTGTGGCCTGAGAGAGAGAGCGAGGAGGGCGGAGAGGATCAGACTACAGTTACTTTTTTATTGATTACATGATTACATACTATTAACACAATAGTAATAAGTTATTCAGAATTCACTGATTCTCTATAATTTTTCGTTTTCATCTTTTACATTTTTCTTTCTAAAATTGCCTATAAACATTCAGAAAATCTTCCAATTTTGTGGACAAGTCGTCAGGTGACTATAATTTTTATAAATTTGCATGTTCACAGTTCTCTGAAGTTGGTTAATGGTCACATGACATGTAGGTATACAAATAAAATTTTCCAACTTTTAATGTATTTTTTACGTTTTTATGATTAATTATTAGCTTTACATTAATCTCATGCAATTCGTTCACGAAGTCCAGTTTGGGAAATCTTGACGTAATGTAATGTTTAATGTGCTTCATTAATAACAACAAATGGAATGTATTTTCATTCTCTTTGTATTTTTACTAGTGCTGTCAAACGATTAATCGCGATTAATCGCATCCAAAATAAATGTTTTTATTTACAAAATATATCTGTGTGTACTGTGTATATTTATTATGTATATATAAATACACTGACAACAAGGACAGATCCTAATAAGGTACGCCGAGCCAGTCTTGCTGTAAATATC